GAGAGAGAGAGAGAGAGAGAGAGAGAGAGAGATGGGGAGGAGGGAGCGGGAAGAAGGGGGAGGGGAGGGATGGAGGAAGAGAAGAAGGCAGATACTGGGTGATGTAACTGGGACTCTGAGGGCCCCAACAGGCCTCCGTAGGGGAGACGGCCTTGGCATTATCAGGCTCTCAGTCTGAGCTCCTAGTGCTCTGTGCCAATGGTGGGGGCAAGAGAACCCCTAACTGGGGTCTACCGCACAATGGTGGCACTCTGATCCAGCAGGGGGACCCAGAAGGGACCACAGACATCCCAGGACAACACACAGTTAAAAGGTTGAGGACCCAACCGTCTCCTTCACTGATGGCGCTGCTGTCACGCACGGCTGCTGAGGACCAGGCCAGCATGGACTGACCGCACCTTGCCGGGAGTTCACCTGGTTGAGCCCTCTCCCTTGGATGTCTGCTTGACTCACAGAGAGAGCAGGGACAGACACAAAGGCCTCCGCATTCTGGCTCTGACAGGGTTAGGACCCAAACAGCAGAAGCCCCGGATGATGAAGACAGCGAATGAAAGATCACCAAACTCATTTTCATTGGGCTACTTCTCAACACAGCATGTGTAGGGGTGTAGGGGTGTGTGTGTGTGTGTGTGTGTGTGTGTGTGCTTTCACTGAATAAAATTTTAATTTTAAAATATTAACTAAGGCTTAAAAAATACCGAACCTTTATTGTAGGGAAAAAAAACTGGAAAACTTTCATTACAGGCGTAAGTGGGAGTTTTAATATATGTGTTGAATTGGTAAGAAATTTGAATAGCTGCAGTGATCTGTAGCAATATATAATAAATTGTTTCAAGGTAAAATTGAATACTTAATCATTTAATACATACTGGAAAGGTTTTGAGTTTGTAATAAGAAAAGTTCCATGTTAAAATTATTAACTCATATTTTCATGCCAATGCTTAATAAAAAATCAGAAAGGATGTTTCCTTTATGATTTCCTACCGCCTTTTTTTTTCCTTCAGCTCAAATGTGGCTAATACATAGCTGAAGAATAAGATCGTTAGCAACTTGCAGTTTCATTTCCAAGCTGAAGGTCACCACAAATGATCAACTATTACAGTTTATTCTTCTTTCTAAATACTTCAGTACTCTGTCCGTGAAAAAAATGGACATACACATTATAATCCTTTATCAGGAATTTTATCCTTATATTAGAAATGCAAATAGAGACATCTCCTTTCAAACTGATGAATAGGTTAAGGGGTTCATTGGTTCAGCAATTTATTTAGCAATATTTACAGAGTAGATACGATGCTTTAGGCACAATTCTAGGTGCTAGATCCTCACAAAGTCTAAAACTGAGTCTTATTTTGCTGAGGAGGTGTCACTGGAAAATTCAAATAGAAGGTGCTTTCGCCTATGTTTCATTTGTTGAAAAAGATTCTTACAAGGATGTATTTTGTTTGGGCCCTCTACACTTAAATGTTAAAAATTAATAGATGACATGAAAACCAGAGGCAACAGAAAGGAGGATATGGTAGACTCCATTAACATTAAGAAAGGTGTATATGGAAGGATACTTTCAAGGGAGTGAAAAGAAAACCCACACATGGGAAGAAACTTATAAATCATATGTCTGAAGGGGATTTAATGCCTAAAATACATAAATAACTTCTTCAGTTGAAGAACAGTAAGACAATCCAACTGAAAAACATGCAAATGCCTTGAACGAGCATTTCTCCAAAGAAAACACACATTGGCCAATAGCCATGTAAAAGGACACCATGACAGTCATTAGAGAACTCCAACTCAATGCTGTAAGGAGCCACTACTTCATAGCTGCCTACGGGAGAGGAAATGTTGGCAAGAGTGTAGAGAAACTGGTACCCTATACTTCACTAGTGGAATGCAAAATGCTGTGCCTGCCATGTGGAAAATAGCCTGGCAGCTCCTCAAAAAATTAAAACACCAAATTATCATATGCCCAGCAATTCTACTCAATATAGTCCCAAAGAATTGAAAGCAGAAGTAGCTATCCTGAGGTATACCTGTATACCAAGGCTCACAGCAGCATTATTCACACTATGCAAACATGAAGACAACCTACACGATACTGAGAGATGAACACAGAACCAAGATGTAGCCAGCTGCCTTTACTTGCAGTAGGTGTACTCCAGAATGTCATAACAAATCTGGAATTAGCAAATACTGAACCACTCCTCCCAGGGGAAATAAGGATTAGGGTGCACTGACCTCTGGCCACAGCACTGTGGCCTACTAGTCCACAGATGATCTTGTTTATGTGTGTCTCTGTTCAAAGTCACCTTCCTTAATGTGTGCGTGGTTAGTGTCACCAGGCTCATGGCCAGCAGCAGTGTAACTCACACCTGAACAAAGCTGCTCCTCCACAGAACTGGTCCATAAGGCACTTACAGCTCTCTTCAGTTTAGCTACACCAAACAGCACCCAGTGCTATGTTCAAGGCCATTTTAAACAGGGAAATCACCAAGGAAAAGTACAAAAATGCACAAAGAGCAGCAGCACTAAATAGAAGGTAAAAGAAGAAAGGGGAGGGGCTTACATGCAGCCTGCGAGCTTGCCTTATCTGAGCTCCCTTGGAATGTGGGCTCTCTGTGACTCAGATTTTGAGCAAGTGCATGAGCCTGTGACTGAGAGGACCGACTGAGGTTACAAATGAGAGTAGCCCGCAGGCCCGTTCACAAGCGTGGGAAATGAAGATCAGCTCTGCATACAAGTAATGGAAGGTGATTCAGCTACACAAAGGCCATGCCCCTGGGACACCTGCTACAGTATGGATAAACACTGCAAGCACGGATCACCGTGTGAATGTAATCAATGCTGCAGATTGTACGCTTAAGATTTAGGGCAATGTTCATGGTATATTTTATGAAAAGTGGATAGATACATACACTGAAAAAGATTACATGCATCATGATGAACTTCTGCTGAAACAAATTCAACTGTCAGTGCTCTATGGGCACTAGAAGAGATTTTCACTTCGCCCAAAAGCAAATAACCCTCCTCTCAAAAGCAATAACCCTCCTTAGTACTTTTTTTCTTTTGGTTTATAAAAGCAGCTTACTACTTAATAACATATCAGCTGATTACCAAGGAAAACAAGTGAATGAAAATGTGCATGTCAGTTATTTGGCTTCACTTCATGTTTCTGGTGAAAATTTATACAGAACTAGAATGAAACTTTCTGTCTAGTTGCCAAAACAGGGGCCACCTAGAGATTCAAAGAGATTCTTATCTTCCTTCAGGATGAAACTCTTGGGTCACAACATGAGGTGAACCAGTGAACTGGGGCTCTCAGACAGATAACTAGGGATAGCACTGTGGTCCCTGGCACTGCGTCTCCTGCTGCCTTCTTTCCTGAAACCTCCGTTTCTCTGTCTATAGAGTGCACCATCTGCTACAGTAGGACTTGGCTACGCGCAGCATTCCAATGTTCTCTTTGAAATATTTCTTGACCCAACAATTACAAAGAAGCATCATTGAATATAAACATAAATGCAATCTGCTAATGCGGAACACAGACACTATTAAAATAAGAACTTAAAACAGGAAGGAACTCATCGCCAAAGAGAATTCCATTAAAATTCTTTCAATCGTTCAAAATGCATCATAAAATAAAAATGTTGCACTACAGAATAACGTTTTGGCTTCTTTGGTGACTGAAAAGAAGGATAATTATGATTGTCATGAAAACACACGGAGCAGCTGTATACGGTGAACAAAAGCACCGTTATGAAGGGCTTGCAAAAGCTGGCACTTCTGCACATGCACATTTCCTAGAATTAGATCTTCTTCCCAACTGCAGTAGATACTAAAAGAGACTGTTTTCTATTAATTGTGGCTTTGTACCAGTTGAGTTTTTAGAGCCAACTGGATTATCTCTCTTCTGGGACAATTCCCACATACAATTATGTGGGATTTACACAGAGTCACAAGTGTGTACATTAATATGCTCTAAAAAGTGTTTTTTACCTTCTCAAAAATCAATACACCTTTACTCTTGAAAAATGCCCATTTCATTAGATGCCTTAACACAGGAACATCTGTTCAGAAATTATTTAACAGAAAAAAGAGTAACAAATCATTCTGCAGTTTGTTTTATCGAGGCTAATTAATAGGTACTTACTCATTAAAGACTAGGTCTGGTGCAAAATAGAGAAATTGGCTGTTCGTATGTTTGTACGATCTCCAACTCAAGGCAAATGATGATAGACACATCCAAGAATACTGGATTAGGGTAATTTGGTCCTCAAGAGGCAAGTTTTTAAATCCTAGAGAACAGAACAATTAATCACAGAAATACACTTAGCATTTAAGTACATTCCAGAAAGAAGCTTCTTAAAAACAGTTCCACACAGCCACCTTCCTCTAATAGATGCAAATCAATCCCACGGGCATTTACAGAGCTCTCACCGCATGCCTGGCCCTGTCCACAGTTTTGGTCTAAATTCACCCTGCATGCTCAGCGTGTGTGCATGGCCAAGGCAAACCAACACTGGAGAATTCAGGCAGATTCCTAGTAGACCGCAGTCCAAACTCTTGGACTGAAAAAATCCCATTTAACCTTAAAACTTGTTCCATTCCCTCCAATTCATCACACTAAGTTAAGGCTGACATGTGCATGTTCATAAAAATTACACGAGATTTCATTTCTTTTGACTATGTGATCCTTCTGACTATTACCGCTGGCTTTCCAAAGCCTGGGAAAATACTAGATGTTGACGACGTTTTTGTTTTGTTTCTGGTGTGGTACTAGGGACTGAATCTAAGGCTTACAGCAGAAAAGCGTTGTGCCACTGTATCACATGGCCAGCCCTTTAAATCTTTAGTTTTAGATTCTCAGACATGGTCTCACTAAGTCACTGTACTGACCAGGCTGACCTCACCCTGGCAAGTCCGCCGGCCTCTGCCTCATGACTGGCTGTGACTACAGGCCTGCGCTTCCACTCCGTGCCTGGAAACAAGGCTCTGTAGTACAATGGGCATCTTCGGCACCTGGCTCCTTAAATGTTCTCACCACTTTCTTATTCCTTTGCACTCCTTCGGTTCCTAGAAACAGCGGGCCACTCTTGCTGCAATAGCCTTTCGGCTGGGCCAGGTCACTTGGGGGGACCAGTGACCTGAGGTGCGTTTCGGAAGCCTTAGTGTGATGGCTGCTGCCTGACCGTAGTTAGGGAAATGCTCCGGATTCATGAATGGAGACAATGTGCCAACACTTCTAGGCGATACCCCTGTAGATTAGCAGGGCCTTTTTAATAAATCCTGCATCATAGAAAATGACCAAAAAGTAGAAATTGCAAAGGAAATTGTAAAGATGCTGGGGATGTGGCAATATTTTGTTTCAATAAAAGAGATGCTGGCATCCCTTCAGGCTTACTCACAGGCCTGATTTTTTTTGACCTGCGCATAGAGTAGCCCGGCTTTGAGCTGCTAATGTGTTTTGCATCATGTTTTTACCAACAGACAGTGTGTTACATTATTAGTATTTTTGAGATAAATTTTCCCCTTTTGTCACTGACACAAGAAATGTAACAATGGAATCCTGAACCCCAAACTGCCCGAGGAAATGAGCCTATGCACCAGAATTCTCCTACACATCACACCAACAAGGTGTGCATTTCTAGCTCTTATGCAAGGATATATAACAAAGGGACTCACAGGGGTGAAGGCCATAGTCCATGTGTCCCCTATGTGCCCAGAGAGAGCTGTGCAGAGAGGAGTCCTACCTGGAAGTACCTTTGCCCACTTCACGACTTGAATCATCTGCTTGCCAGCCAAGCGGTTCAGAGTGGAGAGCAGGTTTTCTGCGGTGTCTGGTTTGGAGCTGTCATAGCCCGCGTACACAATTTCTGGCTCAATGTTCTCCAGGATCATCCCGGGTGATGGGGTGAGGGCCCGAGAGATGGTGGACAGCTGAGGGACCAGTGCAGTGTTGACCGAGGGCTCCTTTGTGGGGGCGATGTACGTGGTGCCCTCCTCAGGGCTCTGGGGGGGCGGGGGCGGGGGCGGCTGCTGCTGGGGGGACTCCTCGTGCAGGCCTTTTAACTTGCCCAGCTTCTTGGACTTTCGAGCTGCAAAGGAGAAATCACAGGTAAGGCACAGAAAGATGATCTTTGCAAGTTATTCTTGTGAGTCTTAGGCATGACCACGATCTGGAGTGAATGCTTAGGGTAGAAAGAAATTATCGCAGTATGACACATGTCCTCACTCATCCTTCTCCAAATACTCCTTGCTTCACACACATGCATCCCTGGGTGCTGGCCACCTTCCCAAGCAGTCTGGGAAGTCCACTCTCAATGTCTGTCACACCTGATGTCGATATTAGGTAGACACTCAATAGTCTCAGTCACTGTATTTTTGATCACAACTCTTAAAGACAAGTCACAATGGCGGACTTCTAGAACTGCTTCCAAAAGTGCCAACAAAATGATGGAATGAGCGTTTTCAAAGTTGGGCTGCTGGTTGTGGTGGTATCTTCAGGGAAGTTAATGGCTATGTGTTGTTTATTGGAATAATTTTTTAAAATTTGAAGATACACCCTACTTTAAATTTGAATGTGATACAAGTAGATATTACTAAAGACTATACTAAAAACTACCCTTCTTCTACAACAAATTTCACAACAAAATAGACAACAGGAAGAGTTCACACACTGTGTACTGTACTTTTAAAAGAAAGGCCAAAATGATTCTCAGATTTCAAGTCATAAAACAAAAAAGACACTTAGGAACAGGTAAGAATGCAAAACCTTTTCAAAGAACTAGGAAAAATGAGAAGTTTAAATGAGACAAGTTAGAATATATATCGAAATATTTCTGAAACAAAAGAATAGAGAATTTGGGGAGTGACTAGAACTTCGCTTTACCTGCTAACATTTTCTTCCTCTTGTTTCATTCTTTATGTATTTATACATGTATGCAAATGGAGCAATGTGGGAGAAACTACAAGCCACTTAAGCTTGTGGGGTTGACTTCCTTCTCTTGGCATTACGTTTTCAAGCAGCAGCCATCTTGGCACAAATATCTTTATGGCAGAGTACTATTCCACCGCATATAAATCACATTTTCTTCATTCATTTGTGTGTTCACAGAGATAAACACTGTTTCAAGATCTAGCTACTATGAACTGCGCTGCTGTAAACATGGTGCAAGCATCCCTGGAATATAATGACTTTTATTGAACTCTTTTGGGAAGATATCTAGAAGAGGAGGCAGCTTAATCAAATGCGATATCCACTGTTAGTTTTTTGAGGAATCTCTATACTGATTTCCACAGCGGCTGTACTAGTTTACCTTGCCACCAGCAATACAGAAGACTTGTTTTCCCCCACTCCTGGCCAGCATTTATTGTTA